ATTATATTTAAATAAAATAGTGATTGTTTCTCTAGGATGCACTGACCCCAAAGACAAAGGCATCCATGTACATGCACAGTTGGTATCAGATAATTTTAAAAGCACTGTTGTACTTGCATGTGAGCTCTACGTGCCCTCGCAGCCTTTCTAGCAAGCCCATATAGACTGTGATAGCTTTAACCAGCATTTGGCAACCTATTTCTCAGAGTCCTGGGATTATCTTGTTGCTTATTAGTCAGAAGAAGATGCCTAAAGCTGTGTCTGTAGGACAGCTGAACCAGTGTTGTCCTCTGATCTGAAATCATGAGCCACAGAGTAGTGGGGGACGGATGAATGAGCAATGCTTCTCTTGGCAGAGCTGCAGACTTGAACGTTGGGAATGCAGTAAGTAGGAATGTTGTGGTGACATATTATAAACAAATCAAGCAACCAGATCTATCTCAGTTCTGATGGAACAGGCCTTGGTGTGATGGGAGAATATTTCGAGATGTCTGATAACAAGCCTGAATGGTATCCAACAAGCAGCTGAAAAAGCCCTAGAGTCCAGAAAATCAGATAGTCTTTGTCCTAAACAAATGAAAGGCAGCACCTCCAGATTAATCTGGTGTTCAGAGTCTTGCTTCTCCCAGAAAAAAGCTTAATGAAGAAAACTGGTAGGCGGGTGAACTGACTGAAGGGTGAAAATTGAATCAGAATTAAGATTAGAGTTAAAATTTAGATGCAGCCTTCAGTAATCCTATAAATTATGGGCCTTGTGAGACTGGCTGCGGGGAGCTGCCTTGTTTATGCTATCCTACTTGGTACACTGGCTACAAGAATGATAATTTGTACCGAAAAGAAGGGGATCACCTAGCTCAGCCAGTAATGCACTGACTTTTGGGAAAGTAAATCCTGTCTCAAGGAAGGAACACATGATGTTCTTCAGGCATCTTATACACAGGATGCAAAAACATCATTTCCTCCTGTAGCAGAGGGTATCTGGGGAGAATGCTGCGAAGTAGATTGTGGTACGCCTGACAGAGTCTGACCTACATGTAGGGAAGAAAATAGTCTTCAGTTCCAGTGTTGAAGATTCATTGAAGAGCTACACAGAATATACATGTCATTTGGCATTTTAAGTGGCTCTAGTCAGGGACTAACTTCCATAGGAATAAAAATTCTTTTTTAATTCAGCCCTAACTAAAGAGAATGTGTTGTCAAAAGGATCAGTGAGAATTTTACAAGCAATGGTAAGAATTTTCTCCAGCAATTTTCCTATTGCAGCAATCCAGAAAACCTGGGGATGTAGGAGAAAGAATGAATTCCCAAATTACAACACAGACATGGAAGCCTCATTTGCATTTATTCATTTATTTATTTGTTTGTTTTAAGAAATGCCAGCATAATAAGATGAAATAAAGATGTGAGTCTGATTTTAGAGTCACAAGGGAGGTAATTATTCAGTGTAAAAAAGAGATATACATATATACACACAATTGAAATTCAACTTATGAGGAGCCAATTTTCTGGAAGAAAATGGCAACTAGTAAGGAGGCAATTGGAAAACAGTGGAATCAATCACATAAGAATCACATGAATTAGTGAATTATTACTCTAAGCATTGTCCCAGTTTGAAAGCTGTTGAGGAATCTCCCATAAGGAGTTCTGTCTTACTTTGTTTCTAGGAACATAAGGTATGGATGTATCTGTATATCCATTTATATTTTATATATAAAGACTTACGTGAGCTGTGATTAATATATTTACTTGTGAGTTACTTTTGCTATAACTAGATGCAGTATCACTGTTGGGTTAGATTCCTTTGTATTCTTCCACGTTTCACTCCTTGCTGCACAGGAAGGTACAAAGCACCAAATTTTGATGGTATGGGCCCTCACCAGTGGAGAGGATTCCCTTTCAGTACATACTCACTGGAGAGAAACGTTTTTGACGCGTAAGAAAATCCTTTGTATAAGAAGGAGGAAGTCTTTAGAAAACATGCCTTAAAAAGGATAGCTTTTCAGAAGAGCATTGCAAAAAATGCTAACAAGATGTTTATAATCATTTTGGTAATGGC